TAGCGTTCTTTGGTGCTGTGAGTACTCCAGATACGCTCTTTTCCTCCTGATCCGTGGGTTGGGATTTGCCACTCATCTGTTGTTTCCCCTGCCTGTCTGGGCACAAGGCCTCCTGGGCACCTGCCAGCCCAGGAGGAGAGATTGGCTGGCTGGATGTTAGTCCCCTTCTCCTGATGGTGATTGTTAGCAGTAATGACACTGCTGCATCAGGATCCTGAGCAGTCGGGGGCACATCCTGTGGAGGCTGGGTGTTTGTGTTGACCCTGGGAAGGCGCATCACTGGGGTGTTGCTGGCTGGTTGTGCCAGCTCTTTGGCCAGCAGAAGAGAGCACCTCCTCTCTGTTTCTTCCCTGACTCTAAAGGGAGTCAGTGCCTGGCTCCAGCACAGACACGGTGTTGTGGTCACTGAGATGGGGCAGCCCCTTGTAGAGCACTTCTGTGGCCCTTCCCTTTCAGCAGGGTAATGGGGAGCCTGGGTGCACTGACCTGCCCCCTCCCAGATGTGCTCATCCCAGTCCTGTACATGGCTGTGACAGCAGCTTCCCGCAGGACCAGCCCTAACCCTGCGTCTGTGCGTTGCAGCCCAGATGGTCATGTCTAACCTCTGCAGCTCATGGGAGCAGGCTGGGCCAAAGAGGACCTGCTGGAGCTGCCTGGGTGGCCTGGCCCGGGGGCAGGTCAGGCTCACTGCCCCCAACACCGGCCGTGTGCTGGAGTTTGGCCCGCAACCAGCTGCAGGGCTTGGTGGGCGCTGGGACAGCGGGCCTGGCATTACTGCAGAAGTTTCGCTGCTGACTGCCCTGCTGCATTTGTCTCCAGGCCACGGTGGTTTGTGACCTGGTTCTGCTCTACCTGGATGCGAAGGCTGACTTCTATTGGAAGGAGAAGTTTGAGGAGGTAAGGATGGGGCCACTTCAGAAGGATGAGGTTGAAGTTTTGCGAGTGGATTTAATTGTTTTCTGCCCTGTGGTTAGAACAGTTCACAGATCTGTGAAAACCCTGGTGGAGCTTTCTTCGGCGCTTGGGCTCAGTGGCTGCTCTGAACTGAACCTGACAGAAATTCAGCTCTTACAGGTTGAAGGACAACAGTCAGCAGGGTGCAAGAGAGGGACCCAGCTGCTGCCTGGACTGTAGGGAACCTCAACTGCTGCTAGGCAAAAAGGAGTCCCTGAGGAGACCTTGCCGTAGAAACCTGACGCAGCTCCACATTACTGACCCTCTTCGGAACTGAATCTGGCCTCTCCGTGTGGAGCAGGCAGCTGTCCTGAAAGTGCCCTGGCTCGGCGTAGTGCCGGCGTGGCAGTTCAGTGGCAGGTTTCCTTGCCATGCAAGATTCCTGCTTTGGCACTGCCCAGCCCTGGGCAGTCAGGGAGTCTCAGGGTGTGGGCTGGGAGGGCCGTGCAGAGCAGAAAAGCTGCCAGCTGGAGCTCGGGCTGTCTTCAGCTTCATCTGGCTCAGTCTGAGAAACCTCTGAGGACAGAGATCACCCAGCATCTGGTGAACTGCCCCAGGGCTGCAGCATCCTGCTGGCGGTAAAAAGTTGTTCCTAAGGCCTGATCTCACATCACCAGTGGGGGGTCCTCAGCAGCGGATCTGGTTGTGTGGGACTGAGCAGAGCAGCACAGGACCACCTGCCTGGGCTTCTCCCATACTGAGATACTCCTGTTCATTTCACAGGTGAAACCTCCTAAAGGTAAGACCGAGGCTGCAGCTCAGGGACATCGGGAATGCTCTACCACAAGCACCCTTCACACGGGAGCAACCTCCAGGTAGACGTGATGGGGGCATGGCTGCAGCCCAGGTGGAGGTGGCCCAGTTCACCTGGCCTGAGTGTGCGCTGCTGGGGTTAGGGTTTGCCTTTCCTGGAGAAACATTTACATCAGCAGAAGCTCTTGGCTCCTGGAGCACAAAGCCATCCCGTGTGCAGCTCCCAGCACTGCATGGCTGGTGACTGAGCAGAGCCATGCTGGGGTGCTGCTGCAGGTACTAGAGCTTGCTGGGAAGCAGCTGGCCCATGCTCAGCACAAGAGGCTTAAAGCATTTTGTCCTTCATGTGCCAGAAGGCTGTTGGGTCTTGATTTTCCATGAAAAACTGGGATGTGATGCAATAAAGCTGTTCAGAAAGCAGGAGGTGGCATTGCCCTGTTGCTGGCCCTGGGGGGATGCTGTGGAGGTTGTGTGTGCTGGTCTTGCACCTCCCAGCACCCTGCGTGCTTCCACGGAATGGCTTCATGGGAGCTACCTGGATCCTTGGGAGCACCCCGGGGAGGAGCAGGGCTGCCCCCCAGCCTTTGTCTACGGTCAGGCAGGGTGCACTGGCTCCTGTGCCCCCCAGTTCCTGCCTCTTGGCAGGGCTGATGCTCAGCGAGGACAAGCGTAGCCCTGGGGTGAGTCTGAGCATTTTGGAGGTGCTGAGCCCTTCGCTCCCGCCCCTGCCCCTAGGCTGTGTCGGCCTGCTGCAGGGTAGGGACTGGCCAGGTCCATGCCTGGGGGGGCTCAAGGACCCCCGCAAGCCACTGAGCTGCCTGACTCAAAAACTGTGCAGAGGTGCTGTGGGAGTCCAGGCACCCTTTAATGGTCCCTGCTGGGACTGACTACATGGGATGGAGGGGTGCTGCAGCATCGCCCCTCTGCGGCTGCCTGCCCCCCTGCCCCGGCCATCCCAGCACCCTCCTTGAACCGCTGCAGGTAGAACTGTGCTGCCAGCTGCCTAGTCATGGTCTTCAGCGCGAGGAAGGCAGCCACGATCTCGGTGAGGAGGAAGGCCAGGAAAAGGCTGTGCATGGCCATCTCCAGCGGCAGGGGGGGGGGGGGGGG